AGTCCACAGAGAGGTTGGGAAGGTGAATGACACAATGTTTGTCAAGGGTTTGGGACGACAGGTGCACATGAAGATGAGGACAAAGACCGATTCTTTTCTCAGGTCTGCCGGCACAGTTTCATATCCCTCCCACGCACGTCCGCGTTCCAGACCCAGATGCTCCAGTGAAAGGCTCCAGTAAAGGGCAAGAAACCACTGATTAGGAAGGAAGAAGAAACAAATGTCTTCGGTTCTTAAAAGGTGGAATGTTCGACCTCTTTTCCCAGCTTTGACTCGGCCTTGCGACTCCACCATCCTGAAACACAACTTCGATTTTTTTCCCTCGTCTGCACAAATGTCTTTGCACACGCCGCATGGACTTTTCCAGCACCTTCTCTGTGCGGGGCTCTGTCCGGGCACTGGGTGGACATTGTTTACTAGGCAGCAACATGCTTTCCCTCTTCAGGCTTTCCTTCTAGAGGGGGGCTTCAGATAACAAACAAATTCAATCAAGGTGATGATGGAGACAAACCAGGTCTGGGATGGAAATGGGTGGAAGTTACTTTAAAACAAAATCTCTCAGAGCTAGCTGTGTGCCGCTTAAATTTGTCACCTGCTCATGTCATTCCCTCGTCCGTCCCAGTTCCCTTTCCTCCCACCTTTCCAAGGGGCAGCAGGATGTGCCACTCTGCCACCTTGAGCCCTTCTTTCCCCGCTTGCTGCTTTGCCCATGGATACTGGCTCACCTCTCATCTCCTTTCCTGGCTCACGGGCCCCTCGGGGGCAAGAAGCATAGTTATCTCACACACCAGCACTTTGTGGGAATTCCCTCTGGTACACGTGCCCCAGAACCTTTTATCTTGGCCCCAGCCACTGGAGAGACACATACTAAATACTTCTTTAGTGAATGGGCAACCCCAGGCTCCAGCTGTGGAAGGTCAGGAGGATGTGGGGGTCTAAACAAAAAAAAAAAACCGTATGTAGGAAATGCTCAGTGTTGGGAGCCAGCCTGGAGCCTCAGGGATTCAGAGGGTCCACAACACATACATGCCACCAAGGAAGAAAGAAAGATCGAAGGCAAAAACTGTTCGATCAGCCCCTCTTCCGGAAGTTGGGCCCACAGATCTTGCCTTGATTACCTATCGAAATGAGCAAACGCCAGAATTCACCCAAGGCCTTGCTGACGCAGGGCATTGGAGGGAGAGAAACCGCTGGGCTGATTATCTTGGCTTTATCCGCCACATCTGTTTCAGCTCAGCATCTCTGCTTTTCATCTTTAAAGAGATGGTGCAGTGTTAGAGAATCTTAGAGACAAAAAGGGCCTGAAAAGACCTCACGTCTTACCCTCCTCCCTTTGTAGATAAGAGCCGTGTCACCCGGAGAGACTGTGACTCACCCACGGCCACACGGCTGGTGGGAGGCCCAACTGGGACCTCACCATAGCTCTTGCCTCCCAGGCAGGAGCTTTTCCCGGTTTTCCAAGCTGCCTCTCGGATCCTGCCAAGTCGTTCCCACATTCCCCTCCAGTAGGCCTCATTAGCAAGAGAAGCTGGCAATGGCCCTTTCTCCCTTCCCATCACCTCACAAAAAAAGAGAAGTGATTCCATTCCAGAACCAAACAGGGATAGTTTTTCTCATCATCTGATGTCTTGTACTGTCTGTCTATGCCAGGCTCCCCTCTAGGAATGCAGCTCCCAGCCCTCACATAGTTTATAAAAGAATGTCATTCACCCTCCCATCAACTCTGAGAACAAGAGGCCATTTCTCAGCTGGTGAATCAAGCCACCATGAGGGCCAAGACATCATAAGGACTCAGCTTATCTCTTACCAGCCGCACACTCCTCAGCCAAGGCCTCCTGTTGGAGAGCGGGTGATCCCCGAGGCATCGCCAACACCACATCCTGAGCCCCTCTGTTGGGACTGTCACCTCCACCAAGAATGAGTTGAGAGTCTCTCTGGAAGATGCTTCACATCCATTCTGGAAATAAGGGATTATCATTCCCACCCCCATTCCATTTTTTTTTTTTTAACAGATAAAGAGAGACTCAGAGAGGTTAAGTTACCTGCCTATGGTTACCCAGCTAGTAAGTGGCAGAGTCAGAATTTGAACTCAGGCCTGACTCCAAAGCCCATCTCTTTCCACAACGTCTCTCTATGTGCCTTGAAGGAATTAGGGCACCTTAAGATGCCCCTGCACACATGATCAGAAATAGTTCGCCTGCCCACCTGCTCAAGTGCCTGAAATCCCCACATTGGAGTCTTCTCCCGGTGACCCCCCAGCCTTAATGGGAAAGGCCAGGGATGGGCAGGAGGAGGGTTTACAAGAAGCCCCTCAGTGGAGATTCGATTATGGCAGGACCCACTCAAGGCTTGACCAGACCCAAAGGTGAGGGCTTGGGAGAGCTTGGGGTTGACAGGAGGAAGAGAAGAGGGAAGGGAAATTGGCCCTGGAGAGGGCTGACAAGCAGGGCCCAGAGGCTGGATGGGACAGGGCATGAGGGCAGCACCAAGGGCCAGGGAGAGCCTCCCTCAAAATCCCACAGGGCCAGCTCCAGGCCAGGGATGGGTTTTGGGGTGGAAGGGCCCAGCGTGACTGGGAGGCATTAGTCAGCAGTGGAAGTTTATGAAAGGAGGGATTGTCTGGAGCCTCTTTACTCAGCGGGCCGATTGGGTCGTCCCCAGAGCCTGGGAGCAGGGCCCGTATCAGAAGGCGACTGGGAACTCCATACCGCTCACTGCCCAGGTTGAATGGCTGGGGCATCAGGGGCCAAGCGTGGGGGCCCTGCCTGGCCTCATGGCCTGTGAGTCACAGCCCTTGGCTGGTAGGCTGAGTGTCTTCATTGTCCACTTGGCCATGCGACAGGAGGCCTAACTCCCTCCTCTCATGATAGAAGAAGCCCAGGGCTGATTCACGGGGTGCCTGTCCCCAAGTTGTCACTCACTGACCTGCTGCCCCCTCTCCGAAGTTCACAGAGTTGAAGTCACTCCTGGACGACCCCTGGCATTCACCCACCCGTTCTTCAGTCATTCATACAGTCATTCTATTTGGGTTTTTTTTTTTTTTCAATCTGTATTTTTTGCCAATTGCAAAAATAATCTATTGAATATTATTCAGCCTTAAAAAGAATACAATTCTGACGTATGGTACAATGTGGATGAACCTCGAAGACACTATGCTACGTGAAATAAGCCAGTCACAAAAGGACAAGTATTGTATGGGTCCATCTACATGAGATATCTAGAAAAGCTAAAATCATAGGGACAGAAAGTAGAATAGAGGTTTTCAGGGGCTGGAGGGAGGATGCATGGGGAGTTAGTGCAGCATTTGAGTTAAGGAAGAAGGAAAAGTTCTGGAAGTGATCGTGATGGTTGCACAATAATATGAATGTACTTAATGCCACTGAACCGTACACCTAAAAATAGTTAAAATGAGAAATTTCATGTTATATATATTTTATCACAATAAAGAAACGCAAACCACGAAAAGTAATCTATTGTTCAAATAATACATATAAGTAAAAGGTAATTGATGGATGTCTTCATCCTACCCTCTATAATTAACAGTTTGGACTATTTCCAATTTTTCTTATATTCCTATATAGTCATGTACGTGTGTGTAACAAAAGTCGGCCGAGAGATAGAAAGGGAACTCAGTCTCCAGGTACCAGCCACACTCCAGGTCTCTCTTTCCTTGAAGAACAATGACACAGCTGTATCTCATTCACAAACCCCAGGAGCCAACTCAGGGCCAGGAGACAAGGTTATGACAAGGTCACAGCGAGTTCAGGGCATTAACAATAACCACCACGCAGTGAGAGAGCCGTGTCTGGCTCCGTGCTAAGCCCTCATACACAGAACTCACTTTATCCTTATACCACTGTGGTGAGGAAGGTATATTTTATGCCCGCCTCAAAGCCTGTTTCATGGATGGAGACTCAGAGGCTTTGAGGGTGAGGGAGGTGCCTGGATCACATCACTAGAAGGAGGCAGGAAGGGAAGTACATCTCCACTGAACCATTAGGTTGTACTTCAAACTCAAAGAGATGACTCGGCTGCCACATGGCCCCTTCCTCAAGCAGAATAAGCGTTTATAGGGCACTTGCTCACTTTGTAGTAATCCCTTAGTGTTTGGCTTCTCAGGGGGAGGGCTCCTGTGGTCTTGTTCACTGGTCCTCTTTGAGCCTTGGAACACAGTAGGTATTCAACAAATAACTGCAGAGAGACTAGTTCTCATTCATGTCTCTGTTTGATCTTCTCCCACACCCCTGTGAGGTAAGATTGCTGCGGGTGTTAGTCATCTGGCTAGCAGGCAAGATGGAGTGACTTCCTCCTGGTCACACGACCGACTGGGCCACTGAGCTGGAGCCCTAGGCTTCTGGCTCTCTTCCCAGGCCTTTCCAACTCTGTTGTCATGACCTGGGCCCCTGCTGTTACATGACAAAGATATTAATTGTGGGGGAGGAATCCTCTGAGTCATTACTAGCAATAATAATAATAATTGCAGTCACTCTCATTGTAATCTTTAATTTACATAAGCCTCTATCAATAGCACCAATGAGGTCCTATCATTATCTTGATTTTATTGTTAGGCCCAGAGAGGTCGAGCCGCTTTCTCAACATTACCGGCTAAGAGGTGGCAGAGCTGGGATTCAGATGCCATCTGACTCCAGAGCTCATGCGCCATATACCTCTAACATATCAAGATCAATTAGCATTCTTGGCTGGATGCAACATGGCTCACAGCACAGCCCCGCTGAGCTTTGATGAAGGATAGAGCTGAATGAAATATCCACCCATTCCCTCCTTCATTCATGCCATCAGTCAGTGAGCCTTCACTTAAACCCACCTGCCAAGTGTCTGGCCCTGGGACGCAGACCGAACAAGTCAGGGGCCCTCCCCCACAGAGCCTTTGGCCTGGCAGGAGAGACTGATGTCATAATTTTGTGGTTAATTATTTCATTAGAGCAAAGATGAGTGCCACCGAGGAGGGTTAGGGCTCTGCCAGCCTCTTATGGGCACAGACCAGGAGCTGGAGAAGGCTGCCTAGCCGGGCTGACATCTCAGCAGAGTCAGGAGAGCAGAACAGGAGAACCCAAACAGAGAGCATGGCCTGGGCAGCAGCTCGACTCTAACTAGGGCAGAAAGACAGCCTGTGCAGCTGGAGCTGGCATGGGAGGAGGAAAGTTGCTGAGGGTGCCGGATGTCGGGATCCGTGGGCTGGCACCAACCGGTCCAGTACCCGGTCCTCCCATAAGGGGCTAAGGTTACTGTAATTATCTTTATTTTCACTATTATCCTTAAAGAACAGGTGGGAAAGGGAATGTTAAAAATCCCCATTCCTTCCCGGCTAGCCGGGCTTGAGTAGGCCCTCCAATAAACATTTATTTCACCGTGCCGTGGATTTGGGCAGCTGTCTGCACTTGACAGCGTGCTCGTTGTGCTGTTTGACCCACACGACCACCTGGAGGGAAAAAAGGAGAGCAGGTGTCAGGCTCCCGTAAAGCAGAGGAAACTGAGGCCTTCCCAGCACCACGCCTCCGTACAGTCTGAGGTCCAGGCCTTCCTTTCTGGGTGGCCTTTTCTCCTCTACAAGATGCGCTTAGTAGCACCTGAGTCTCTGAGTTGTCAGGGGGGTTACGTGACATATCTAGGTAAACAGCTGAGCAGGTAAAGGCTCAAGGTCAGTGTTCAGGACACAGTGGCTGCCATCATTATCATCATTATCATCGTAACCGTCATCATTACTCTTATAATTCCTGAGCTCGTTTCTCCCTGAGCACCTGTGCGCCAGGCACTGTGCCAAGTCCTAGGAGGCAGGGAGGTATAAGATGTGTCCTCTGGTCCTAAGGAAATCACTGTCTAGCCAGGGAGGCAGTCAATTAGCGACTAAAGGCAGCAAAGAAGGAGCTGGGCTCAGGACAGGCATGGCAGGGGAAGCCCAGAGGAGACAGAATCTGAGTGACATTTTGACTTCAGAAATGGGAGACCGGGCAAGGGCTCCAGGGACACCTAAGATGGTTAACGGTGGGTGTCCCAGGGCCGGAGTGGACAGGCCCTGGGGGAGCCATCTGTCCTGGTGAGGCAGGGAAAGGAGCTTAAGAAGCTGGGGCAGTCAGGGCAGTGAAGGAAGGGGTGTGAGGGGACCTTCCATCCGTCTGGTCCCGTGCTGCCATGGCTTTATCAGGGTGCTGCAGATCTTGACAATCGTCACTGCTCATCTGAAGCCAGGCTTCTCAGAGCACAAGCCTGCTGTCCTCGAGGAGATAAGGCAGCCCCAGTCATGCAGCTCTAACTGTCAGTGACCAAGCAGAAGCCACAGCAGAGCCAATGGCCCGCATGAAGGGAGGCCCCGCCAGCCTCTTCTGACCACCTCCCCTGGGCTGCTCTGGGACAGCGAGGTGAGGAGGTAAGGGGCAGATCTGGACAAGGAAAAGAGCAGTAAGAATGATATGTGTCCCCTGCCTTTTGCTTCGTAAAGCACTTTATTCCCATTCTCCGAGCGAAAAGGAAAGGTGGGGCTTTGGCGCTGGCCTGGGATCCAGTCCTCAGGCTACCACCTGCTGACTCTGTGACCGTGGGCAGGTGACATCACCTCTCTGAGTCTCAGTTTCCTCATCTGTCCAATGAAAGCAGTAACACCGTTTCTCTTTTTCCAAGCTCAGTGTCCAGCCAGCCTGCTGCCACTTTCCTCCTGGCCCTGTTCTCTTCCCAGTCGCTTCCCCTTTCCCCAGAGGGCACCACCTCTGCCAGGCTAGGAGTTGAGTCAGACCTCGGTCCACCAACATGCTGCTGGGTGGATGGGCCCAGACAGCCAGAGGATTCTTGTCCCGACTCCCTCCCGGCTGACAGCCAGTGTTTGCCCTGCCCAGCGGAGGCTGGATGAGCGGGAGGGAGCGGGGGAAGGGAAGCTCCCCATGAGGAGGCTTCGATTTTGCCAGCAAAGGCTTTTGTGCTTGGAGTGCCAGGCCAGGGCAGTCAGCTCTGCCAATAAGAAGACTGGCCTCCAACAATAATGTTTTTCCAGAAGGCATCAGCTGCTTTCTAACTCAAACCATCAGGAGGAGCAGGCTTGCATGTGCTGAGTCTCCAAATGCCTGTAGAAAGAAAACTATCCCCCATGCCAGACAAGAGCCGGCCTGGACAGGGCTTCGGCCAAGGGGCCCTTGGACGTGAGGCTGTGAGTGCTTCCCTGGACCCTGTCATCCAGGCCAGGTCCTCAGCTGGCACCCTCCTCGGGACACACTTGCTGCCAGTCACTCCACCCACATCCACGAGGGCCCACCGCGTGCCAGAAACTTCGAGGCTTTTAGAGTGATTATCGTAGCTGTTACTGTAGTCTACAGTGATTGAGCTCATATTGACTGTGCCAAGTACTTCACATTCACTGTCTCTCGACCACCTACCATATTCCATTCTACAGAAGAGAATCATGAGGCTCAGCGAGGTGAAGAGACTTTGCCTAAAGTCCCCTCAGCAGAAGTGAAAAGTTGGGCTCCCAGCCCTGGGTCTGCTTCCAGCAAATGAAAGATGTAAGGCTCACCACCTCACACCCCCTAGGAAGTCCAGAATCAAAAAGTCAGATAACTGGACAGGATGTGAAGAAATCAGAACCCTCACACGCTCCTGATAGGAATGCAAAATGGTGCAGCCCCTTTAGGAGACAGTCGGCAGTTCCTCAAACAGTTAAACATAGAGTTACAGTCTGCCCCAGCAATTCCACTCCTAGCTATATACCCAAGAGAAATGAACATGTCCACACAAAGATGTGTACAGGAATGTTCATGGCAGCATTATTCATAAGAGCCAAAAGGTAGAAACAACCCAAATGGATAAATGTGGTCTATCCATACAATGTAATATTATTCAGCCATTAAAAAAGGATTGGGGTCTGATACATGCTACAGCGTGGATCAACCTGAAACACATCATGTCGAGGGAAAGAATCCAGTCACAAAAGTCCACATATTGTTTGATCTTACCCATAAGAAATGTCTAGAACAGGCAAATCCATTGAGGCAGAGAGGAGATTAGTGGTTGCTCAGGG